CTATTTGTTACATATTCCTATTACGTGTTTTACCATTTCATCTTATAATGATTAATTACGAACTCGTTAGGATATTTTCGTTTACTTTGTAGCTTTTTTATCTGCTAGAAAGAAAAAATTCATTTGTTAATTAGATAGGATAATAATTTTGTAAAATTATGAGGTTTTATATGTTATATTTTTTACATTTAGAAAAAGATTATTGACAAGTTAAAAAACGGTTGCAATTAATCTTTCATACGTATAATGAAATTTCATGATTTTTCTCAGAATTTCAATATTTTTAATAGTAATTAGATTTAAATCTTGATGTATACAAAAATCCTTAAAATTTGTTTAAAGATTGTTTAATAAGCAAATTGTTTGATACTGAAGTATCTTTTCTAAAAGCGATACTTTGTTTTAAAATTTAACGATAAGGGCTTATGTTATTTTTATACAAGGAATATAAAATGGTAACAATCTTTTCCCTTTTATTTTCTCTACGTTGTCAGAATAGAACGCTTGTAAACAGTGCCCAAAATTAATAACTTTTTATTAAATGAACAAATGACTATTGGATGTTTTGATTAGAATTCAGAATGTACATAATATTAGAACCTTGATCGTCTGGGATAAAATTTTTGAACGGGTCAGCAACTTTAGATATTTACGATCGATCATAAATCAGACGAACGATATTAACGAAGTACTTAAGAAAAAAAATCAATTTATGCAAAATGCATGTTTTAACAACATTCATATTCAAATCATTAAAATCGTTTTTTTCCTAGAAAATGTGTTTCTTTTTTTTTTTTTAGAATATCGATCAATTAATTGTCGTTAAAAAATCAGCAAAAAATATTCAAGAAAAAGAAGGAAAAAAATATCGTTTATCGAATGATAAACACAAATGCAATTATATAACATACATCAGGCATACAATTTTTGAATAAGTCTTAACACCTACCTTGACATTTAATGTCAGTTATCGATTAATTAATTGTACACGGACGAGCTTGTCTATGAGAAAGATACGATAGTGTTACATACGCTTGAATTACGTTCAATCCCTCTACGAAAATGCTTGGCTTGTAATAACGCAAACTATATTATCATCATCAAAAGAGACATATCGAATAGGAAAGTAATAAACTGCGTAACGTCGTTTTAGCCTTGACCTTGCAATTCTATCAATTTTCCGATTGAACATCTTTAAATCATAAAGTAAAAATTATATTATATATATATATATATAATTCATAATTACAATTAAAATTAAAAAAAAAATACTAGATACGTAATCACTAATTATCAATAATTAATAATTCCTATCTACGTCAATGGAATTTAATTAAAAAAAAAAAAAAAAACAAAGAAAGAAACTGAACGAACAATAATTCGATAAACAAGGAAACGTCTATCATATCATATCAATGAAATTATTTAGCAGATTCGCGTGACGTTAGAAACTTGATCATACACACACACACCTRTCTGACAACTCGTGACGCAAACTCGGATCGTTTGATAATTAATGATATTACCTGAAATGAACGACAATTCGAAATGCTTTTGATTAAGCAACTAACATATCGCGCTTTAAGCTAGTTCATTATCGTATATTAGGTAATTTTCGAGGTCGTTTATTCAGTAATTAATTATATCACAGATGTGAAATGTGTTGTTTGATTTTATAAGTAATTTTCAATAAACATACATAAATATTAAGCGTTGGATTTAATTTATGACAATTACCTCTTATCTTCCTAAATTATACGAATCAAGCAATTAAATGAAGATTTAATGATAGATCACTTGTATAATCACCGATTTTACGTGCACGGATATTTCATGTTAATGCGAAACGTGTGGCATCATGATTGTGCGTAGATGTTCACATATGTATTATAACACATAACCATAACATCTCAGGGGATGATTCCTACATCTCTGACTCATCGATATTTCCCTAGAATAACGTTCCTGAAATACTCAACATTTCCTTCCACTATTTTACTAGAAAAAAAGAAAAAAAAAACAAATCAGAATAAACGAAATCTCGAAAATTTGATAAAGTATTTGAATTGAAGAAAAAGATGAAAGATTTGTTTGACAATTTTTTACAAAGTAAAATCATTTCACACTCGTTTTTTTTTTTACAAAAGTATTGATCTTTTGAGAAAAGAATAAGAAAAAGAAAAATTGATTAATTTTCAAGGACAAAATATTACGTAGTAATCCCACGTTCTTCTCTCATTTATCGTTTTCAAAGAATCGTGAAATGAAACGCGAATACGGTGAATTTCTCTTGAAATTCTATGAAAACAAAAAGGGAAACGTGACTGTGCGATAATGTAGAAAGAGACAATAGACAAATGACAATGATGATCTTAATGAACGAATGATTACCCTCGAAGGACATTCCCAATGTGAGCTTTTCTTCCTGTACCTTTAAGTTCCTGGTCAACGAACTCCATTGCTGTGCTGTACGTAGTAAGTTCGCGAAATTGAATCAATTGAAATGCACCCCTCGGATACGTAGACCAACCTCGACATGCCATTATCGTTGCAAAGGGGAACACACAAGTATATTTTCTTAGTCGAAATGTTATTTTCCGGGGGTCGTAATTTAAGGGATTATCTACAAGAAGGAGAAAGGGAGAATGAAGTAAGGGTTTTATGTTAAGAAACAAAGGGATAATTTCATGTGGACACAACTAAAAACCATTGACTCGATATTACTTGTCATTGAATGCATTACTTAGAAAATATGATAGATATTATATTTCTAATTTCATTGGCATTAGAATTAATCTTTTTCTGAAAGAAAATAAAATGAAAATAAAAATTATTATAAAATTAACATTAAAATTACAACCGAATAAAGTTAAACCATTAAAATTATTAACCGATGGACTAACGGGAACTATATTTTTAAAATTTTACTTTTATTAGAATTAATTTTTTTTTCTCTAAGACAAAATAAAATAAAAATAACATTAAACTTAATTTTTTCCGGAAACAACATAAAATAAAAATTATATTAAAATTATTAACCAATAGACTAACGGTAACTATACTTTACTAATTTCACTTGTATTAGAATTAATCTTTTTCTGAAACGAAATAAAATAAAAATTGCATAAATATTATTTAATCGATGTAGTATATCTGTAGAAATATAAATTTTATTAAGAAACATTATAAAGTAATTAGTTTCTATAAATAAAATAGATAAAAGGAATAAAACAAAAAAATACGATATTAATTAGGAAAGTTAAAAAAAGAAACTAATTACAATTATAATATTTATTGTAAGCGGTCTTTGGCTGGATTTTACTTGCAATGGAATGTATAGCATATAAAAATATGTTAAACATTACATAGAAAGTAAAATACCATTGCCCGGGTCTAACCACGAGGAGGTAACCGCTTCTGAAGACCCAAGAGGGATGTGCATCCTAAAAATGCCCGCATCCGAATATCATTCAAAGAAAAGAACCTAACTCTTAGGCCCCATCATAAGAGTACCATTCAAAAAATTCACACAATTATTATCGAGAATACCATAGAAAAGTTTGAATACGAAAAATACAAAATGATAAACGAGGAGTGCAACCTGTATAGAATTTCAATATAACCATCAATGTTACTTCAAATTAACAAACTTTAGAATAATTTCAATATATGCACATGGGAAAATTACAAATTACGAATATTTTATATTTAATAATTTTTAATCTACTTAAAATGTAATATAAAAAAAAAATAAATATATATATAATATTAGATGGAGAAGACGATATTAGATGGTACTTGTAAAAAAAGAAAAAGATATTAAATGCTACCTGTAGAAAAAAAAAACGATATTAGATGCTACCGGAAAAAAGAATTAAAATACTTCAGTTATTTTAAAAAATAATTATTTTTTATTACCCTTTACCATAATCCAGTCCTCTTTTGGTCCATTTCTTCCTCTTTTTGAATAAAATTTTGCATCATAGTTCACCCTGTTAACCAAATATTAAAAAGAATAGGAAAGTTATGGTTCGTGAGTGAAATTCTAGGTAAGGGACATGATTTTCTCCCAATTATTGGAGGTAGGAGAAAATCATGGCTCGCGTAGGGCAGGGTCGCATCCCTAAAGTAGACCTTTCTTTGCGAAGAAACCAAAGAAAGAATCTACTCGCTACCCACTGAAAAAAGAAACTGGAAACAAACCTAAAAAAGAAAAGATTATTTTGAGGGTCTGAAAAGATGCAATGAATGCATCGAAGGGCAAGTTCCCGATGA